ATGTTAACCTTTATATAGGTTATGTTTATGTCATGAGAGTGCACGTGTTGTATGTCATTACGAGTTAAGTCAACGTATCTTGTCAAAAAAATGGCTTCGAAAATAAAAAAAAAGAGTTTAGCTGATAAAATAAACTCTTTAGTTAGTACAACACCAACAAATTTTGATTCTGATGACGACGCTGAAGATACAAGGGCTAAAGTAGTTGATCACTATGATGAAAGTGATAATTCTGTAAACAATTTTCAAGTTTCAGAGATAAGAAGACGAAACGTTGATCTTTTGGACCAATTAGATGAAAGGTAGGTAATTACCAAGTTTTTCATTTATACTTCTATGCATTGTTTTACATTATTTAATAATGTTCTTTATAACATGATAGGTACAAGGGTAAAAAAATTTCAAGAAAAGATATGTATTCCGAAGATGATGGACCAGATAATTCAACAGATGATGATGATGATAATGATGATGAAGAAGAAAAAGATGAAGATGTAGATGAAGATGAAGATGAAGAAGTAGAAGTAACAGAAGAAGATGAAGATGAAGAAGAGGAAGATGAAATAGATAGTATGAAAAATGAAGAAAGCTACAATGATACAGACAGTAACAATGAAGACGTTGATAATGAAAGTATAATGTCTTCCAATAACGATTCCAATATAAACCAGAAAATAAATTTTCAGACAATGTCTAGTACAAATCTGAGAGCAGATATTGAGAAAGGCAATTGCGCTAGAAATCAATTAAAATTATGGGAAAATTTATTAGAAGTTAGAATCAAATTACAAAAGTGTCTAGTTACAAGTAATCAAATGCCTCAACATAATGTTTATAAAAATTTTAAGAAAGATGTAGAATATATGAAAAAAGCTCATGAAAGCAAAAACAAATTAAAAATTCTTTTAAATAATATGTTACAATTACAAAGTGTTCTTTTAAAACAGTATCCTGAAACAATGAATTTGTGCACAGAAAGTAGGAAAAGAAAAGCAGAAGAAAGTATAGATAATGAATTATTGAATGCTGATGATTCAATGGATGAAGAAATTCCTTCAGATACAGAAGATGAAAATAATATGGATGAAAAATTAGTGTTGAATGAAGATACAGGATATGATACTAAGAATATGTTCAATATGCAATTAAAACTTAGCAATTATGAAACAATAATAAACAATAATCATAAATCTTATACAAATTATAGGGATTCTGTGATACAGAAATGGAATGAAAAAACAAAAATAGCAAGTGGTAAATTGAATAAAAATACGAATCAAACTACGCTAAAACAAATTGAGTTTATGTTAAGCGATAAGGAAAAATTATATAAAAGAACTCAATTAAGACGTTCGGAATACAACATTATTGGGAAGAAAGAGCCATTAAAAGATAAGAACGAGGACAGAGGCGTCCAAGAATATGATTCCGAAATTTATGATGATGATGACTTCTATCATCAGCTATTGAGAGATTTAATTGAACATAAATCAACCGATATCACAGACCCCATTCAACTCAGTAAACAATGGATTCAATTACAAAATATGAGAAGTAAAATGAAGAGGAAAATAGATACAAGAGCTACTAAGGGTAGAAGGATAAGATACAATGTACATAATAAACTAGTAAACTTTATGGCACCCATCACTATTAATGATACATGGACGGATCAAGCAAAAGATGAATTGTACAGTTCTTTATTTGGTAAAATTAAATCAGTAAATGAGCATACTACTCATTGAAATTAGAAGAATTAATGTATCTTTATTTAATTTTGTACATTTTAATAAAGACTATTTTATGAGGTGTATACGAATTTAAGAAAATGAACATATATATGTTATTATATATAAATGAACATGTGAAAAATGTTTTATGCTTTAAATACAAGTAAAAAATAAAATCCTTATATATCTAACAATAGAATAGTCTTACAGTAGTGAAACTTTTAATGTTTATTACCCAAAATTGAGTAACCTTAAAGTACAATTTCGAATGGCAATGTCACTTTATAGACAATATTTCTATTACTTTTTATAAACCATGGTATAAAAAAATAGAACTATACCGTATAACGATAGAAATTGCAAGCTTACAGAATTTCGTATCACATGTTCTGAATTACCGACTCTGCAAAAAAGATTTTGCTCTATCCTCTACGTCTAGAAAACGGTGAATAGGAAAATTACATCTAGCAAACTGATCGAAGTTGATCAAGTAGTAAATACGGTAAACATACAAACATTACAGACTTAAAATATGTCAAAAATGCCCCGATGCACTAACGATCTCTACCTGATTGAAACGATCAATTACTGAATTACATAAGCTGCAACATGGAAAGTGTGTAAGTACGTATCTTAAATTTGTATTTTAATATTTTTGATTCTAATTCCTATTACTTGTAGCGCTGCCATGCGAAACTAGTGTAAGTCGATATGATAGGGCGTGACATGAAAGTGATAATGGAGTCCTGGACCCCTGAGCGAGTGTGACAAAATTTTACATTACATGTTATGTCTATCTTATATCTCGTCTGTGACCATACATAGAATTAACAACTTCTTTACGCATGCGCACTGCAAATTAGTTCTTGAAAAATGCTCAAGTTTCATCTCTATAATAATTCTGTGTGCTATGACTAAATGAACGGGATTTGGGCGACACTGTCGCCTCCACATCCGTTTCGCTCGCGTTCAATTAATTTAAACACTAAAAGCCAGAGTTCGTCTTGTAGCATTTTCTTGATCCATGATGCAGATGCATCCCATTTCATCCTATTCGATCCAACCGGTGATTTCGCTCGTAAGAGCAGACCAGAGTTATGGATTTGGCTTGTCAAAATTTTGATTTTAATGCTAAATATTTGCTTGGTCAGTTAAATACAGCGAGAAAAGAAATTAATAACTTAAGGTATCGTCAAACTTTTTTTTATTGCACTATGTCTTTTTAGATTGAAAGAATTATTTAAAGAGATATTAACAAGTTTTGTTTAAATTTGGATAGTTGTATAAATGGGTGTGTTTATGTGTACACACATGGAATATTCATGTATAATGCAATAAGATACTGTATACACATAATAAACACATATACACAAACAAAAATAGATATTGTATATTAAAAGTATTAATTAATATGTATCGCTATTTACTCAATTTTATTATCATATGGAAATCATTAATATAGATTGAATATTAAATTATTTTAATCACAGTATTAGTTTATGTTATTTACAGGCAACAAATAAAAACTCTCCGTTATATACATGAGAAAGATGTTGATACTATAAAGCGTCTTTTAGAATCATATAGAAATGGAGTACCAATATCTTCTGAAGCAAAAGTCATATCTTTAGATGATGTAAAACCTAGCACCAGTGCAGATGACGATACTATAAAATTAAAACCAATTGGAATAATATCTACTTGGTTTCCTAGTAAACGTGGTACTCCTAGACAGACAGGAATTTGTGGGAAAGTACCTGGAAAGTTACTATTATATAATTCTATTTACACTAATCCTGATCATGCTCTTGAAGGGTTACAAGATTTTTCGCACATGTGGTAAGTAACAGTATAATCCACTTTTAATATGGTTTTAATTAACTGGTTGATTTCTATTTCTATTTACAGGGTTTTATTCTATTTCCATAGAAATGATTCAACGCATGTTCGGGCTAAAGTTGCACCACCAAGACTAAATGGTACAAAAACTGGTGTGTTTTCAACAAGATCTCCTCATCGTCCATGTCCCATTGGTTTAAGTTTAGTGAAGATCACAAGAGTAGAAAATCATACGATTTACTTTGAAGGTGTGGACATGGTTGATCAGTCACCTGTGTTGGATATAAAACCTTATATACCGCAATATGACAGTCCCGTCTTTTTTGAAAAATTAAGTAGCACTCCACAAGAATCTAACATAGATAATACATATGGGTGTATAGAAGAGGATACTAATTTAAGCAGAAGTCAAACATTTAATGCTAACATTCATCTTGCACATGAAACAAGAAGACTACTTTCAGATTCTTATTATAGAAAGAATACTAATGAAACAAATCAAGAGGCAGATGTTTCTAGAGATGAAGAAATTGCTTTAAGATTACAAGCAGAGGAGTTCCAAAGGAATTCCAACTTTGAAAATTATAATAGTATGAGACATTTTTCTGAATTAAGCGATATTAACTTACACAGTAATGGCATGTTACAACATAATGTAGATGTAACTGGTATACACAGAACATATCATACTTTATCCGATGTTTCAGCCGATGCAAGAACAAATATGAACATATCCTCTGAACAGAATGTACTATCCTCAAACTTAGAACAACAATCAGAAAGTTTAGCAAACATAAGTAATAGGTTACAAAATACTAGTATAAGTAGTCGTACTAACATTGAGTCAACATATACATCAAGAAGTATGGGGTCAAATTACATAGAAGCACATGCTTCTCGTTCTAGACTTTTAGATGGAGCAGATGGGCCAAGTACCGTGTGTGGTACTGATTTAGATTTAATTAATAGACGTTCGTTAAATGCACGAATTGATAATTCACCTATAAGAATGGGAATACGGGAAGCTCCTGATGGAGAAGAGGGTTTAGAATCACAAACACTTGTCCCTTCACAGAGTTTACCAAGTGTTGAAGCAACAAGAACTACATCAAGTAATAATTTACTGGACTCTACAGATACAAATTCAGCTATACCTTCTGAACCAAGGAACTTTGAAATTAGGGAAACAGAAGCTAACTATTCTGCGGAAGTAAGAATTCCAGAATGGATATCAAGACCTCGTACGCCTTTATGCGTGATATTTAATGATCGAGCTCTGATTCAATTAAATGAAATTTTAGGAACTAAAATTAATGACCAAAAGATAGCAATTGAAAATGTACTTCGTGAAGATCCTAGATCTGTGTATTTGCGACAAAGATGGGGTAGTCAATTTTACACTTTCTTAATTCACGATTTACATATTACTTGTAGGTTCGACGATAACAGAGGTGTTGTTACAGTTTTCCAAATTAGACACGCAGGACGGATTTGTGAATGTGGAGAACCTGAATGGCAATGTTTAGGTCATTCTCCGCCCCCGTCTTAATATGTTTATCTATGTATGTGCAATATATATGTAATGTATGCATGTATATTATTGGTAATTTTAGCTAATTGTACCCATAAATTTATTAATAATATTGTAAGAAATGCGAATTCTTAATTTATAAAGCTACAGGGTGTTTTATATTACATCAGATAATCATCATTCCATAATCGTTAATCAAGAATTTTGATTGTTGTCAAATGGAAACGAAATTTTGTTCAAATTAGTTGGTTTACTATTAAAGTATGTATTTATATTGTCATATTAAGCAACACGTAATTTAATTTGTCTTATAAATCATTTGTTTATTACTGACATTACTGAATGAAATTGTAATATTCATTGCTTTTAACACAATAAGAAACTAGTCTTAAACTTTCTGTAAATTTAATGAACTAATTACTAAAATCTTGCCAATTATATTGTATAAAATAGATAACAGTTCTTTCTTTTTATTATATAGAGTATTTATTGTTTTTTTTGCCAACTTTTCTATTATGTAACAATTTATTATAATAAGAATGTTCCTATACGTTTAATGCATTTAATTAAATATTACAAACTTTCGCACAAAAAAAGTAAGATAGGCAGTAAGAATGTAACTTCCAACATTTATTCGTTGATAAAAAATGTTTCGTCCAAGATACTACAATTTTATTTCCACAGCAGAATTTATTAAGTAAAAATATAAATATACAATACACGATTCAAGTATACATTCGTATCGTTGAATCTGCACCGGCTGAAAATACCCATGGTTGAATAGGGTGGAACATTACATCCAAAATACCAAAATCATTGTAAGGTATGTGATCGCATAATCGTTTTAGCGGTACGATCAATGGATTTTGCAGTAAATCACTAAAATGTATATTGAAATAAATAATATATGGTCAATAATGATGTAAAATAATTATAAACGTATAACTTACTTGTACACCATTCCATGAGAAACAATAAGTCCTCTATCATCGGCACCAGACGCGAAAAGTGGATATCGCTTATGAAATGAAACTGCTCTTACACCTGTACCATGTAAACGTAATGTCTGATAAGGCTTTGTACTCAAATCAAGATCAAACCAAAGCATTTTACGATCGTAAGTGCCTACTAAAATATTATCGCCTCCTAAAAATATAGAAATAATTCATAAATAACAAAGATTTAAGTATATTATTTTGATAATTAAACTGTTTACCAGGATGTATTGCCATTGACGATATCCATTGTGAATTGGATAACAACTTTTTAATCATTTCCTGTTTTACTAAATCATATATTCGTACATTACGCTGAGTCTGTAATTATATTATCAAGATTATTAATTCAAATTTTTAAATTTTGATTTACATTTAACTTTTACTTACCGCTACAAACAAATATGGTCTAATTGAATGAAACAAAACACATTGTATTAAACCTTTTGCCTTAGTGAAAGGCAGTTGAGATCTTCGTTTTGAAAGTTGATTTATCAAAACAGATCTGTTTTGTCCATCTGGCATAACAGTGGCAAAATAATCACCTTTACCATGCCATGTAACTTGTTTAACTATTTTAAAGTGATTTAAAATTAACCTAACACCATTTAACTTATGTTCTCCTTCTGCTTGTTCCCATTGTACCGCAGCTCTAACTCTATCACTAACTAATGAAACAAGAAACATATAATTAGTTTGTCTTTCAGTACTTTTATTAATATTAATATATAATATAATATAATGTATATACCAATAACATCACTTTCAGGTATTATTTCTAATAACTGATCAGTTTTACTGCTAATCAAATGATCTCCCACTTTAGGATTTATTAGAAGGACTTTTGTATCTGCTGCTACTGCTATGAGAGATAACGACTGATTCGGACACCACGCTACGGATCTAATGACTCCTCCGCAAAACACTGTCTTCACACATCTACCTGTTGCTATTTCCCATACTGTAAATTAATAATATTATGCATTATAAAACCTCGTATATAAAAATTACATTAGTAACCTGCAAAACTAATGAAATCTTACTTTTTAGATTCATATCATCACCACCAGAAGCAATGTATTGTCCTATTGGTTCTGCAGTAATACTTCTAACCATTTCTGTATGCCCTTTAAATATCATAGACATTGTTGTGGGGAATGGTTGTAAATCCTTTGGACTAGGTAACTGTGGTACTAATGCTTCAGGTTCTATTGTCAATCTCATTTTTAATGCTCTGGGACACAAATACAAATCAAGACACCTCTGGAATCTTTCTTTAATGTACTTCGGATAAGCAGGAACTTCACGAAGCGAATTATATTTTTGTGGAATAAAATGTAACTTCCTTTTCCATGGTGTTGTCTGTAACTTATTCCACTCTTTCAGTTCTTTTTTATCAAATAAGTACTCTGGTGGAGGATTATAACTTTCAGCATGCCCAGGTAAATGCCTCTTTGGTGGTGGAATGTGCTTATGAATTCTCCGCATTTCTTCGGCTTGATCATCCGATTGCCACAACAAGTAAAACTGTGGTTCGTTCTTCTTCTGCTGTTTTTCTTTCTCTATTTCCGCGGATGATTTCATCCAACCCATTTTCAAGGCATGAACTAACTTTGATACTTTTTTGGCTTCTGGTTTAGATGGTAAAAATGAACGTTTGTGTTCAGGAAATTTACGCACTGGCATTTTCATTACTTCTGAAGTAAACCAATCTACCCAAGGCTGTAAGAACAAACATACATGATACAATTTCAATATTTCATTTTCCATCTTACTATAACTGCTTAAATACATAATATTTTAAACTTACTGCATATTCGTCAAAAGTTGTATCAGGAATTTTCTGTTTCTGAATTCTTGTAATCAAATCTATATCTTCTTCACTTAATACAACATCCTGTCCAGTTTGTGGGTCTTTTATAGTTCTCCAAAAGTCAGGATCTTCCATTCTTTTCAAGAAGTTATCCAGCTGATCACCCTTTTGAGGTTTTATAATCTTTTGTCCATCCCAATTATAACCAATATGGTCATAATCATCATACCACTTTAATGGTATGTTACCAACAGTATTTCGAATATCTTCTTCATCTGAAGTATCATATTCGTATTCATCTAATTTTTGACTTACTGTTGATACAGTATCTATATTTTTAATAGTTTCATTGTGCAGAACATTCTTTTTACTAGTTGATTCTTTGGATTTCTTGGAATTTTTTTTCGATATAATATTATTACTTTTATTTAAATTACTTGATCTTAAATATTTTTTAATTTTCACTTTATCTTTTTGTGAAACTTTAGAAGAAGATGACTTATCTGATGGATTTATTTCATTTATAGAAGACTTATTAATCGTATTATATTTTGATGTTGTAGATTCATTTTTGATTTTCATTGCAGATCCATAATATTTATCACCTTTTACTATGGACTTGTTATCTTTAGTTTTAGAGTTAATATTGAAATCTTTTTCTTCCTTTTCCAAAGCTTCAGTTGCATCTTCTTCTTCATCGTCAGATATATTTTCATAATCACTTTCAGAGTAATATTCATCCAAACCAATATCATCTGAATCAGTTTCAAACTCTAATTCATCCTGCTCACTATCAGTTTCAAAAACAACTGAATCTTTCTCAGTATCGGATTCAGGTATACATTCATTTTCATTAACTTCTTCATCTGAACTTTCATCATTATTATTTACTTCAGCTTGCAATAAATCTTCAGTACCTGAATCCTAAATTACTTGATTAAATTATTATAATATACAAAAGATTAATACTATTAATTAGTATAAATATCAATAAAACAAAATATATATTGATTTAAGTTACATTTATATATACTAAAATATATTGCAAAAGAAAAAAATTTTACCAATTCTCCTTCATGCTCGTATTTTATGGATTCTTTCTCTGCTTCTGTGTCATTACTTTCAACTTTTAAGTTTCTCTGTTTCCTCTTTAAATTCTTTTTTTGACTTTTCATTTTTTTAAGATTTCATATGTATACAAATAAGAAAAGAGGTTAGGTAATCTTCACGTGCGGCAGCCAACTCCAAACCATGTCATAGATTATAGTATTTTAGTATACTCATTTCAGAAATGTGCAAGGGTACCATTTGAGTTTCATTTGATCATAGACTTAAGAATGTGAAAATGAAGGATATAGTTAGCGAAGTTGACTAATATTTGATTAGAACCCCTAACTTGATGCTTGAATTTCATTGGATGTTATCTTACGCATGCTTTATTTATAATAAGAGTGCGTAAATCAGTGCCTACGGACACTCTAGTGACACTCCCCTGACAAAAAGTTCCCCTCTTCATATCTACTTTCACCTGTTTGTATTAAATATTACATAAAGTTACTTACATATAAGCAAATACTTATTTAATTATTCAAATACTTCCTTAACAATCTCAGGTAGTTCCTAGAATAGAGGTAAGTAGTAGGGGAACGCATATCAAGAATCACTAGTTTAAGGGGTGGTAATTTAACATGAACTCATCGGTGAACTTTTTCTCTTTCTGTCCATCTTCAACAGTCATTAGTATTGAAGGCATGCAAGAAAGTAAATAAAAGTTATATTGGTAAATCAAATATCAATATAGCAAATATTTAATTTTTATTGGATAAATGTATTTGATAAATTTTGTTAGAAATAAAGCTTAATATATACTTGAAATAGGGATAAATTATTTCCAATGGTTGGTACTGTTATATTTTATCCGGTTATAAGATACATTGGTCTTTCGCTTCCGGTCAATCATGGTGAGTGAAATGTGGTCTCAAACTTCTTCATATTACAAGTAAAATTTTTAACATTAATAAACATTTTAGTATATCTGTAAAATACTTTCATTTAGATAACATGTGCTTCAGTTTAGTATACATATTTCTTATATTGCATGAATAATATATAATATTATTTCATATAACCTTATAGTTGCTTCAGTTTTACACCACATGGTAGTAGTGCTTTGTAAACGACAGTGTAAACTTTTTTTGTTATTAAAACTATTGTTACTAAAACCATATTTAATATATTACTTATAAAAAATGTTGTTCAAATAGTTTCGTAAATGAAGAAATTTTTATTTTTAAATAGCCGTTCCAAAGGTTTGTGGAGTCGGGTCGTATTGCCTACGTGAGTGACGGCCCGCATCAGGGCAAACTCGTAGCAATTGTAGATGTCATTGATCAAAATAGGGTAAGAATATTTAAAATTTTCATTGCTTTTATTCTAAGTTCATGGTAAAAAAATAATGATGATCCAGTTTCATTGATAGGAATTGCCGGCTGATATTTGTTTGATGCTAAATACTGTCACTGATACCAAGCTTCATGATTTTCATATAAAAGATGCAATAAACTTGGTATTAATATATTAATACATTTTTAGGTTTTGGTCGATGGCCCTGCAACAAATGTTCCACGTGGTGAGATGAGGTTAAGTCAACTTCATTTAACTAAATTCCGTATCCGTTTCCCATTTACTGGATCTACACGTGTTGTACGCAAAGCATGGGAAACTGCAAATATTAATGAACTTTGGAAACAGACTATGTGGGCAAGGAAGGTTGAAGCTAAGAAGAAGGTAACAATAACGATATATTATGAATTTAACTATCTTTAACAATTTAATATTTGTATAGCATTATATGAATGTCTATATATTCAATTTCAGCGCTTGGAACTTAGTGACTTTGACCGCTTTAAATTAAGAAAAGCCAGACAAATCCGAAACAAATTGAGGACAGATGTATTTTACCGATTAAAGAAGAAGGTCAAAAAGGCTAAGGCTACTGGTGGAAATAAAAAAGTTGAAAAGAAATAATTTTTTATCATACGAAATAAATATAAAATTATCTTGTAACAGTATATTTGTTTTTATAAACACCTTTGATCTTTGCATGTACATTAGTGTATTACATTTTATTTATTCATTAAAGAAATGCAACAAAAATTACTTTTGCAGCAGTGAACATAAATGTAATTCTACAGAACAAAATTATGTAATTGGAATAATAATTTTAGGATAATGATGATAGAGGATACAATATTTGCATGTTATATTCAATGATTTTATCATCGACATAATTAAATAAAATTACTATAAGTTTGTGGAAAAAACCTTATTCATTTTTTAAAAGTAATTTAAAATTTTTATAACTAATGCAGATAAAACAATGCAAATTCATTATCTCATAATTTTGTAAAAGGCACATTTGAATATATGGAATATTATTACTAATCGCTAAAATATGTAAAATATATAGTGGAGATTGTAATACATGTATTTGCATTTGTTAATGATAGGATGTACTTAACAGTAAAACTACTGAGCAGTTGGAGTAATTTAAAATTTAATTTAAAATCTTTCGCAAAAACACCTTCATAATTTAAATACTTGCAAAATAAAAATTCTCAAGTTGGTCAATTTGACCCGTCCGGTAGTTTTAATGTTAAGCATTGTCGATAAAACTTAGAATCCATGAAAATATTGCCAATAAAATGATTATTAATGATCTAACTGTGTCGATGAGTAAATATTGTCGGCGAAATTCAATGCTATTGTCAGTGAAATGACATTGATAAAATACTAAAAAGCTGTCGAACTGACCCCTCACGCTACCAACTCGCAAACAGCATTCCCCCACTACATCTACTTTAAAAGCTGCCTGAGACTGTGTTTATCAGCAGTTTTATCTAGTGTTCAATATAAACAGGTAAAAGTAGGTATAGAGAGAGTAACTTTTCATCAGAGAAAAGTCAGTATGGAATTCGCAAGCTCCCAGTTATTTACCTACATAAGAACCTATATACTTAGTTCTGTATATAAGTACTACTATGAGCATGCTGTGAATTGGCCATAAGCATAGCTGCTCATTCGTCGCTTCGGTGGCGACTTACATCAATCGACCATTGATCTTTTTGGGTTTCACGTACTAGTACTTAGTTCGTATGATATTTTGTACACATAGAAATGAGTTGCACTTAGATAATAGTGATTGGTATGGTTCGCTGTAATTTTAAGGGGTGGGGCTGTAGGCTTTCATTTTATACTTCTTAATAATTCTATATTTTCATAAAGCCCATTTAATTTTAAATTGGAAAAAATAACTTACAGAAATATTAAAGTACTTCAATTTTCATTAAAAAAACCGTGGAATTCAACCTAGAAGGATATTTGGCAATTATAACGTCAAAACGTCGGTGGGAAGAGGCGGAACACCCTCCTACACCCAACTCTGTAAATTACAGCCAAACGCATATTATTCTCTATTATTTAACAATAAGTCTAACAATAAGTAGAATTGGTAGCTTACGACCCACCGTGGCGCTTTCTCCTCACGATCAGGTCGATGCAGTTATCCTTTCCATACTTAAGTACTAATTTACTTTCCGTTTCAGTTGTGTATGAGGGCTGCTATGAGCAGGTTAGTCGCCATTACAAATACACATGTATATAGAAGTCTCCTCTTTATATTGAACACTATACAGAGCTGTTCATGATGAAAATATCGGTTAACCGAAAGTAGTACTCAGGCAGCTCCTGGAATAGAGATAGGAGAATCGGTGATAGAGAATCATTAATTTGAGAGGAGGGAGTTCGACACCTCTGATCTATTTTTAAATGGAATTCATTTCTACATGTACGAAACAATCACGATTGATAGGAACTTTTGTAAAGAAGAGTGGATATTTAGATACTTAAGTACACGTCAAACCCCAGAAGGTCGACGATTGAATCAACGAATTGCGGCTATGCTTGTGGCTGTGTTGCAGCGCGCTCTGTATATAAAATTCAATGCGCAGTAGTAAAAGTTTTTTCGTGTGAAACTAAAAGAGGGCGATATTTTTGTCAAGGAAAACAGTTGAGCGAAACACCGATTTCTATAATCCTTATCAATTTTGTGAAAATCGGTACTACTATCAGCTTACTTTAGTATTACCATTTGTATTGGGTCTAGAAAAGTTTATTAGCCGCAATTCACCGCCAGCGAATAATCGCTAAGATATTTTATCGTTAGGCTATGTATGTATAAACTGAAAACAAGACTTTTTTTTAGCTTTTCCTGAGAATCTCGACAGGTAAACTACTCATACCAATATCTATTACCTGAGTGAAACTCATTTCTATATATTATAAACTGCGGTAAACTGCCAGCAATTAACTGCTGGCAATAATTTGCTGGCAATAAATTTTTCGGAACTCATCTGTATTTACATATGTAAATACTTATTTACCATATAAGTAAGTATCTATGTCATGACAGTGACTTTCCTCAGCCAAGTCGGGAAATTGGAAAAATATTGATTTCTAAAACATTTATCACTTTTACGGACATCGATTCTACTATCAGGTTGCTTCAGTATTACCATATGTATTTACATATGTAAATACTTTCGACATATTCGTGATATGGTAATGATATTTTTGCAACTGGGCTAGAAAACTTACATATAAGTAAGGTAAAGACAAGGTACAGATGATATATAAATGGTTGTATGTTAATTGACTACTATCAATATTTATAAAGATAATTGATTAAAAGTAGTTGTTATAAATATCATTGAATTTGCCTTGAGAAACATGATAAATTGATTATAATAAAAATGTATTATTTCATTTAAAAAAATGACATAGGCATTGAAATTTTATTAACTCTTCTTTACCTGCTATAACAGTGCCTTCTAGCTTTGA